TTTTTTTTTTTTTTTTGCTGTTGATTTCTAGTTTTCTATTGTGGTCTGATAAAATATAGGAAATTATTTCTTTTTTCTTATATTTGTTCAGATGCTTTATGTCCTAAAACATGTTCTATTTTGGACAAAGTTCTTTGGGCTGCTGAGAAGAATTATGTTCTGTAACATTGGTTGGAATATTCTATAGATGTCTTTTATGTCCATTTGATCTATTGTGTCAATTAATTCTGATTTTTCTGTTTATTTTTTGTCTGGTTGACCATTCTACTTGCAAGAATGGAGTATCAAAATATCTCCCACTATTATTGTGTTGGGGGTTATTTGTAATTTTATGTCCAGTAGTATCTGTTTTATGACAATGAGTGGATTGATATTTGGAGCGTATATATTAATAATTGTTGTTTTCTCTTAGCCATTTGTTTCCTTTATCAATATGAAATGATCTTCTTTGCCTCTTCTGATTAATTTTCTTTTAATGTCTGCTTTGTTTGGTGTAACTACTCCTGCTTGCTTTGGGGCTCCATTTATATTGAAAATCTTTTTTCCATCCTTTCACTTTAAGCATGTCTTTGTCAGTAAGGTATATGTCATGTAGGCAATAAAAGGATGGGTCTTGTTTTTTAGTCTCTGTTTTTAATCTAACCTGTCAATCTCTGGCTTTTGGTTGGAGAATTGAGGCCATTAAAATATTACTATTGGAAGCTATATAGTAATATCTCTTTTGTTTTGTTTTTGTAATGATTAGTTCTTTCTTAATCCTTATTTGCTTTTTATTCATCTACTGAGATTTATTCTAACCCATATTTTTCTGGTTAAATTTATCTTCCTCTTCTTTGTATAGGATTCCTTTAAGTATCTTCTGATATGCTGACTTAGTCACCATGAATTTCTTTAGTTTTTGTTTTTCATGGAAGGTTTTTATTTTTCCTTCAATTATGAGGGATAATTTTGATGGATATAGTAATCTAGGTTGGCAGTTATTTTCTCTCAAGGCTTAGAATACATCAATCCATGCCTGCTTTGCTTTTAATTTTTCTGTTGAGAAGTCTGTTCTTATTCTGATGGGTTTGCCTTTATATGACTTGTCACATCTCTTTTATAGCTTTCAATATACTTTCCTTATTCTGCACACTTAATGTCTTAATTATAATATGACTTGGAGTGGTTATTTTTTGTTGGGTCCTAACTGTCTCCTGTATTTAAATGTCTGTCTCTTTCTCAATATTTGGGAAATTTTCTCCTATTTTTTTTCTTTTCTTTCTTTCTTTCTTTTTTTATTTTATCATTTTAACATGTGCTCACATGTGCATACATTGTTTGGGTCACCTCCACCCCCCCCACCCCGCACCCTCCACCACTTCCAGATACAAGCTGTTCTGCCCTATTGTTCTCTAATTTTCTTGAAGAGAAAACATAAGAGATAATAAGAAAGACATAGCATTTTTGCTAGTTTGAGATAAAGATAGCTATAGAGAGAGATTCCTAGCATTGCTTCCATGCACATGTGTATTATAATCCCGATTGGTTCATCTCTGCCAGACCTCTTCACTAGATCCTGGTCACCTTCCCATAATAGCCTCTGCCAATTTAAGATTACTTTATTTGCTCCTCTACAGTGAGCATATCAATCACATTCAAGTTTTAGGTTTCCTTCCCTTTCCCTATTCCTCCTACATGCATTCTCCCCTTCGTGTGTGATCTACGTCCAAAAATATTACTGTATTTGTTTTAGGTCTATAATCTGCATATGAGGGAGAACATGTGATTTTTAGCCTTCTGAGCCTGGCTAACTTCTTTTAAGATGATGTTCTCCAGTTTCATGCATTTACTTGTGAAAGGCAAAATTTCATTCTTCTTTGTGGCTGAATAAAATTCCATTGTGTATAAATACCACATTTTCTTAATCCATTCGTCAGTAGTGGGGCATCTTTGCTGTTTCCATAGCTTGACTGTTGTGAATAGTGCTGCAGTAAACATTGGTGTGCAGGTGCCTTTGGAAGAACTTAAGTCTCATTCCTTTGGGTATATCCCTAGGAGTGGTATTGCTGGATCATAAGGCAGGTCTATGTTTAGTTTTTAAAGAATCCTCCATATTGTTTTTCAAAGTGGTTGTACTAGCTTACATTCGCACCAGCAGTGTATGAGGGTTTCTTTTTCCCCACATCCTAACCAACATTTATTGTTGGTGGTCTCCTATTATTTTATTGAATATGTTCTCTAACCCATTAGCTTATTCCTATTCTCCTTATTCTATGCTCATAATTTATAAGTTTGGTCTTTTAAACAGTATCCCAGAAGTCTTGCATGTTCCATTTGTACCTCTTTATTTTTTTCTTCATCTGACTGTTCTAATATAACTACTTTATCTTAAACCCTGATAGTCTGTGTTCATTTTGATCTACTCTCCTGGATAGATTTTTCCTCTGTATTTTTTACTTGACTTCCTGAGCTTTTCATTTCCAGAACTTCAGTTTGATTCCTTTTCAGGATTTCTGAATATTTTTGAATTCCTCTATCATATCCTGCATTGGCATCCTTATTTTGGTCTTATGTTTATTTGCATGCAATTTGAGTTATTCAAAATTTTATACATTTCTTCTTTAATTTCATTTATCATTCTGGCATTCATGATTTTGAGTTTTCTTCTAGGCTTTCTTCATTTTTGCTATCTTTGCTATTGTTACTTTGAGGTTGTTGACCTTTGGCGGTATCATGTTGCCTCCTTTTTTCATATTTCTTGTGTTTCTATGTTGAGATTTGCATGTTTGAGGCAAAGTTGTCTTGTAGTTAAAGTATTCTCAGTGTTCAGGCAGGACCGTGTAGTGGGAGAGTTGCAATGTGGTTTCTCACCACTGGTCTGTAGCAAGCCTTTTGCCTATGTGCCCAGGACATCTACACCACTCAGATAGAGAAAGAGTAGCAGGAATCTCTTATATTTCCCTGTGTATGAGTTGGTGTTATTTGTGGGTTGAGGGTGGAGTCAGTTGTTCACTTCTGTGCTGCTTCCACCTTAGAAGCTTCCCTTCTTTGTGTACTGGAAGTCACTGCAGCCTGCACAAAACTTTTTAGCTTAAGGGTAAGGGAGATTCTTACTTCTTTCACAGGCCTACTATTTGTGCTGCTAGGGGAATTACATGTTCAACCCTCATAGTTGCCTCCCCAAATGCTTCTGATAGTGGAGAGAACAAATAGAACACTGAGTTCTACACCAGTGGCAGATGACTGAAAGGCTCAGTGCTCTGCCTGCATGTCTGTGTTCTTTAGACTCTGCCCAGCAGTTTGTCACCTTGTTTTCAGATCCCCAGGGTAGCCCAGTCTCCAACTCTGCTGTCAGCCTGCTGGCAGCTCCTTAAACCTGAATACTTGACTGGATGCTCTGTTTTGATGTGATCCTCAGGCAGTGAGACTTGCTCTTGTAGAGTAGGATGTGGTCACCCACTACCAGGCTCTTCATGTCCAGCACTTCTGGCTAATCAGTACACTTTTCCACCATGTATGACTACCTTTCATGGCTGTCTCTCTCCCAGATGCTGTGGCCAGGTGACCAGTACTCCCTTAGCTAAAATTATTCCTCATTTATCAAGTCTCCAGGGTAGCTCATTCTCAAATCCTGCCTGTTTACAGGCCTCCACAGCCTGCCAGCAGCTCCTGTAACCTGTATCCTAACTTTGCCAGCTGTGGGCTCAGTGCTCTGTTTCTAAAATGACTCTCACCTGGTCAACCAGGGCTGCTAACCACTGTGCATATCACTTCTCATGCTCCTCAGTGGCTACTTAAACTTCTCTGCTTACCAGCATCTGACCTTCTTCTCCACAAACAACTCTTGTGGCTGTTTCCCTCACAGACTCTATAGCTGACTGTCCCAAGACATCTTGAGCTATGATTACTCCTTATTTTCAAGTCCCCGAAGTACCTCAGTCTGGAACAGTAGGCCCTCTTTCAAAATAGTGCCTCACCATCTCTCCAAGATATAGGGAGTAAAAAATTGTCTTGGCTGATACTAGCCTGTCAACCTGTGTGAATCACCATCCTACCAAATCCCTGTACTGTGTTTAAGGCTTGTGGAAACAGTGGGTATGCCAGTCTGTCACCAAGGCTACTGAGCTTACCTTGTGGTAGAGTCTTCAGCTTCCCCTTTTCCCCAGGAGTCAGGGCTGAAACTGAAAACTGTTTCCTACTCTGTTGCCTTTCTGTTTTGCCATACTTTTTAGCTATATAGTCCCTGTTTTGTGGTTCTTGATGCTTTTCTTTCTCTGTTCTGCATATGGTCTGTTCCTGTTACCCTGATTCTTCTCATTCACAGAGTCAGAGAAAGCTTCTTTATATTCCAAAATCTTGCCAGCCAAAGCATCTGGAAGTTTTATATTCAAAACATGGTGTATGAATCACTATGTAAGATGTTCAATATGATATCTTATTTTACCACTGCATAATTTCTCATCTATATCAGGTATCTATATTATAATTTTGTCTCTATTAACACAGTTACTAGGGAAACTGTATCTCTCCTTGTACCTCTAATAAACTCCATGTTATTGGTTTCAGATCTTTAAGTGAAGCCATTGAAGTTATGGTATATACTGAATACTTTACCTCTTTCAGGGTCTCCCCAAGAGCACAGAATAGGCAGTGAATCAAAATAATATATGGTAGTCACAGTGATTGAAGATTGCTTGATGCCAAGGCAGTGCAATCTGTACTTTCTGATTCATTTTATTAAATACAAATAGATTAAGGTAGTGGAATTTTCAGTAGATAATTAGAATGATGAAGTTGAAATTGATAGACCTATTTGAAATGGCAGGAAGAAACGTTAGGGAAGAAAATCAGATGGTTTCTGTCATTTGAACTTCAAACATTTCTATTAAAGGAGATATTTTGAATACTTTTTAAAAATGCTATTCAATTATTAACTATTCCTCTCCTCTCAGAAAAAGAAATCATAGAGAAATTCTAAAATATTCTCCACTTTTGACCTTTGCACTGCTTTTTCTTCACAGACATTGATGAGTGTGCTGAAGGGCGCCATTACTGTCGTGAGAACACCATGTGTGTCAACACCCCAGGTTCTTTCATGTGCATCTGTAAAACTGGATATATCAGAATTGATGATTATTCATGTACAGGTAAATTATGGCTACTTATGAAATGAGATATTGCTATTCCTTAAGTTTACTCTTCAAAGTTGTTTTAAAATTTAAATTCTGATAAGTATGCTGTAAATGACTCCCTCACAATAAAATAAGTAAAATCATTCCTTCCTGATTTAGTAGTTAATTCTAATCTGTTCTTAAGAAAGGAATACTTGCTGATTAACTTTTTTACTCCTTGTTAGGAAAACAATGAAAAAAACTAAAGAAACAAGTTAAGAGTATGCTACATTTATTCTTAAATAGTATTTATGCTCAAATCTCATGTGAATTACTAAAGCCAATCTGAGAAATAAACCTTAAATAATACTTCATTTATGGGAGAGTGAATTTTAAATAGAGGAATAATTGCATAAATAATGTGATGTCTTTCAGAAATTGATTCTTGAATTTCTAGGAAATGGGAATAAAGACAGTTGAGCTTCTTTATACCTTGCGGAAGTAAAGTTAAGCATTATGTTGAAGAAGTTTTCCTTATTTTAGTTTCAGGAAATTCCACTCCCTTCAGTACCATCCAGAGACCTATTTAGGGATAGCTTGTGCGTTAGTAATATTTGAGGTTGGTTCTGGGACAATATGACCTATTTGCTTCATATTCCATGGGTTCCTACATATTTTATATGAAAACAAATGGCGTTAGAAAACTAGGCTGACCACTATTGGATTTGAGGAATTGTGACTGTGAAACAAGACATTACTTTGGATTTCTTTAAAGTAGAAATGACATAAAAATAACATCTCAAAGCATATTGTATCATAACGTTGGAGAGCACCTAAAAATGCTTATCATGTTTTATTTTTCCTCTAATTTTATAATCGTTATCAGATGCATGTTATAAATAATACTAAGAGGTTTTCAGGTAAAAAGATTTTATAAGCCTCTCATAAAAATGTGAATCTATAATAAAAGTGTCACTGTGTGTTTTTATTAGTTTTCTACTTCTAAGTCTTCATTACAGTGTCAATACTGTGTGCTAATTGATACTCTCCCTGTCAGAGCAGAGGGATGAATCTTCCTTCAATTTCAAATACAGTATTTATATAAAAACAAAGTGATGGAAATCATACCTTGCAGGTATTTAATGTAGAGGCACCAGTGGATTTACAAATTCCTACTTTTTTCTTCAGTTCATCCTATAACTTTCCACATTACAAGAACAGTTCTGATTTTATTCTTTAAACAAAACTTAATCATGTTGAATGGCAAAGTGTCTTCAAAGAGGATGATAGGGATTTTACCATGAAAATAATATTTTAAAAAATCATAATAGATAAATGGAAAATAGCATGCACAATTTATTGTAATATTGATAGTATCAGTAATCCTGAGTTCCAATTTAATGGTTAACAAAAACCTGAGATAAACCTGCTGTATCTTAGAAAGTGATAGTTAAAGTTATATTTGTTAAAAATAAGAGTGCTAGCAATTTCTGAGGAGTCTGCAGATTCTTTGGCATTAAAGACTTAAAAAGCTTTGTACATGTTTATACTTCCTAGTGATTCTTCCTGGTTTTTTTGTTTATATACTTAAAAGTGTAGAGATTTTAAGAGGACATGACACATAATTTGGCCTCACATTGAAAGGAGAGGTTTTCTCCAGGACAGAATAGTTTTAACAGGTTCATTTCTATTCTGAGTCTGTTTGTTAGATGTAAATCCAACCACAGTAGTCAATAGTTTAGCACATTACAGAATATCTTCTGATTTGGTTTTGCCTCTCTTATTGCATCTTCCTTCCAAATAAAATCCTACAAACAGAATTTGCTGTTTGTTTTTGATCACTTATGGAGAATTTTCCTTTAGGATTCCAAACTATCTCATGATATAAATGAAGTATCCCTTTGCAGGAATCCAGAGGAAGGCTGAAATCATTTTAAGAAAATCTGTTCAGGCTATGAGTTTTATGCTGAAGGAAGCAGAGTCAAGAATTTCAAAATCTGGCAAAGGATGGAGAATGGTGCTCCTTAATGAAGCTCTAGGATTTCCAACTAGCACCATTATTTCTATACTCTCATACTAGGTCTACCAACTTGAGAATTTTCATCTGTACCCAAAAGTTGGATTTTTCTAGGGAGTATAAGTGGATTTTATTTTGTTGTGCAGAGTCAGGTGAGCATTAACAAAACTTTTCTTTTTCTTAAATTAGTCTCTAATCACCAGCCCCTGCACTTTGATTTCAGCCTCTGTACAAAGGACTCAAAGAAACATCTCTCATGGAGGTTGCCTTTGGCTGGCAGACATAAAGACTTTTCCTCGTTAAGAGTTCCTGTAAGATAAGAATAGGATTTTATTTCTCTGATAAGATTGAAATATATTTTCTTTGAATTTTAGAAATAAATCCCACATACTTATAGTAGAAGACCTTTCAGAATAGAAGTCAAGATACCACCACAGCTCTGTTTCCTGATGTTTGTGACTGAATTCTGAAGTTTTCTTTCATTTTTTGTGGCTTGAGTTCCAAATGCGTTTTGTTTCTGTATCCTTGCCTCACTTTCCTGTTAAAAGTTGTCTGCCACAACTCAACTGACATTGTCAACACTGTAACCAGCAGACTCTCAAAGTTGATTATCTACCCAGAAAGTTAATGGCAGACATTCTAATTTAAAGAAGATTCCAAAAGTAATACATATTATTTGGTAGTCAGAAGCTTTGATCAATAAAAAATCCATTTTTGCTTTTATGATCTTATAGCTCTGGTATAGTTATTATGCATGCTACAGAGTAATTACCTTCCATTGTTGGTAGAATTGCATTTTTTTCCTATTTAAGATCATTTGAATTATATTTCCTATGATCATAAAATTTGGGAGCTAGAAGAATTCTTAAAGATAATCTAGTGTAATCCTCTAACTTTTGTATGTAAGGAAACTGAAACTGAGGCTCAGAGAGATTTATTGCCTTACACATATTTATACAGTTAAAAGTGGGCCAAGAAGATAAGCCTCCTTATTCTTAGCTTTTATAATATTCATCATTTGTCTAATTTGCAACCACACAAAAATAAATAAAGGGAAAAGATTTATATTTTAAGTAGAAATACATTATTCAATTTATAGTGTTCAGTAATTAAGTTGCCTTTCTTATAGATTATTTTAGTTCATTAGCTTCAACTCTAAGGGGAATTTTTCTCCTGCAGCTCTTATAATAATAATCCTAAATCAGAAGTCAGTACTAAGAACTATAGTGTGCCATTTTCTAGGCTTTTTTGGTTTGTTTTTCTTGGGACTGGGAAAGAGCGTAGGACCTTTCATATGCTAGGCAAGGATTCCACCACTGAGCCACATTGCCAGTCTCTTAAAAAATTTTTATTTTGAGACATGGTCTTGATAAGTTGTCCAGGCTGGCTTTGAATTTGCTAGTTCAGGCTGATTTCAAGCTTGTGATCCTCCTGCCTGAGCCTCCTGAGTAGCTGGAATTACAGGTGTGTACTATAATGCCCTCTGGCTCTTTTATAAAGTTATTACAATACTCAGTTTTATCATTTACAGAGCAACGCAGCAGTTAATGCTTTTATAAACTCTAACATAATTTCTTTCCAATCAGGGTACTATTGCTTTCTAAAAAATAATGTTTTTTAACTTCTTTCCTTTCCACATCTTTTCTTATTCTTGTTGGAAAAAAAAAGCTACTGAGTATATAAAGAAAGAAAGCTGGGCACCAGTGGCTCACACTTATAATCCTAGCTACTCAGGAGGCTGAGATCAGGAGGCTCACAGTTCAAAGCCAGCCCAAGCAAATAGTTTGTGAGACCTATCTCGAAAATACCCAACACAAAACAGGGCTCTTGGAGTAGCTCAAGTGGTAGAGTGCCTGCCTAGCAAGCATGAGGTCCTGAGTTCAAACTCCCGTACTGCCAAAAAGAGAGAGGGAGATGAGGAAAGGAGAAGGAAGGGAAGGAGGAAAGGGTGGAACAGGAATGAAGGGAGCAAAGGCATAGAAAAGAAGAAACAAGGAAATTTAAGGAAAGTAAAGGAAAAGTCTTGGGACTACATGAGCCAACACATTTGAAGTTCATTTTTTAGAATCTTTGCAAAAATAGCTTATGTTTTGGCATAGCAAAGTTTTGTGATTCCTGGTCTAGACAAATGACTTTCTTGGTTATCATATCAACATTAATCAAATTTGGTAAATCTTCTTGAGTCCTACTGGGCATCTCTTCTTGCAACTGGTCTTGGGTAACAGACCAAGAATAAAAAAACATGTCAGAATACACATGTGGAATCAAGAATGTAGGAATTGTCAAAGAATAAACATCTGAGTGAGGAGGCATGCATTTAAGCTCTTCCTGATGTATTTCTGTGCTCAGATTAGTACAATAAAAAAAAGGAGCTCTGATCCCTCTTTCACACTGATCTACTTGTCTTCTTCCTGTTGTGCAGTTCTTTAGAGTGAGGACAGGAAAATGGGAAGGATGGTTGGGTGGAAAGAATAGAAAATAGTTTTATCCAGTTTAGGAAAGAAATTTAATCCTTTAGTACAGCTGTCAAATGGCAGTTTTCCCTTTTTATTTGTCAGAATGTATGTCACACTGTCTGGAGATATTTGATTATCACAACTATGGAGTGGGGTTTGCAATGGACACCTGGTAGGTAGAGGTCAGGGATGCTACTAAACATCCTGTTATATTTTTCTTAGCCTAGCTATCTCATGAGGAAATAACATATTTTCTAAAGACCCTTTCAACTGGGCACTTTCTCTGGTTATTTTTCAAATGAATCCTTAATCTTCATACTGCATGAACATCTGGCACAGGAAAGCCCCTGCAAGGAAAGACTGTATGGCCCCAAAGGTCATTAGTGCCAAAGTTGAGATATCCTGCTTCAGCATATCCAATCAAAACTGTAAGATGTAGACTTTCTTTAACTTTCCCTCTTCCCTTTCGGCCCTATATAGTAAGTGACACCATTTCTCCCCCCTACTAGTACCCAGTGTCATTTTACTGTCCTTTGGTCACAAAAAGGAGCCCTTCACAATAC